GACGCGCCACGCATAACAGCAACTCTTGTCGCTACGACTCACCTCACAGTCAGCACGAGGTTGGGAGCCACAGCGACGCCGGTGGCGAAGTGGTGCTCCATTTGCTTGGTGTCCTTGTGCACGAAATCGAATCTGTGGTGAACCAGGGCTTGATGATTAGCTTTAACTGGCGCGCGAGCTGAACGGCTGACTGGGCCAAGTTACGCACCGCAGCTTCAGTGTGGCGCCGGCGAAGCCCTTGACCAGGTCCTTGTTAGCCTTGAGCAGCTGGGCGGCTCGCGGATGCTCCTGAATGTCCTTCCTCGTCTCCGGCGTCGTGTTGAGTGTGCACTCGCCCTCCAGATGCACCGTATAGGTGGGATTCACCTTTGCTGCAATGCAAAATGAAGAGGGCCAGATTGGTCAATACATTGCCAACCACTGAATCTGCCATTCGCTGACGTGGAAATAGAGGTGAAGGAAGGTGGTGTACCAGTGTCCACGTCGACCTGGAGCACCTCGAGGCCCATGTCTGGGGTGCGGTAGGGGCGGTGGGCTGTGAACCGGCTGAGGGTGGAAGTCACTGTAGAGACAGTGTCGGCAGCCGCGGGCGAGGCGGGTGAAGCCAGCGGCGAAGCACCGCCCGCCGCGGTGCGCGTGGGCCGAGCGCGCGAAGAAAGGGGAGGGCTGAAGGGCGAAGGCGGCACCCTGACGCTGGGAGAAGGTGCAGCCGACGTCGGGAGGGCACCCGAGGAGAAAGGCGAGGAGGGCGTGGTGGGGGTTCGGGCACCCGCATCGGCCGGCAGATCGTGCTCTTGACGCGTAGGCGAACTCACAAGGATGCTGGGCACCTCAGGGCGGTCCGTGCCAGACATGATGGCCGACAAATCGGTGCTCGATGTTGCAATGCTTCCATTCGTCGAATCTGACGGGCGACGCGGTCTGCGTTTGATGAATGCTGTGGAGGGTGAGCTCATCGTAATCTTCTCGACATCGGCTCGATCGGTTGCCTCCTCCATTGCTAATGTTACTGCCAGTAAACCTGCAGGTTTGTTTGGCCTTTGCGACCGTTAGTATCTTTTCTTGTCGCACTTTCGAGGAAACTTTTTAAATAAGTTTAACGTCGACTTCTGCTTTTGGCGGGAAACGCTGGCAACAATCAGCTGGCCTCATCGGGCACCCCAATTACTTAGCCCCCAAGTATAAGGATTCGCTACAATGTTGTGGGTTGATAAGCACCGACCGCGCCAACTCGCGCAGCTGGACTATCATGAGCCTCTGACCAACCAGCTGCAGAAAATGGTTCGCTTCTTTCAAACAGAAATTGCGGGCGATTGAGAGTCTGCTGGCAAATGCTAATGAGCATTCGTTATGTCATCCCCAGGCCACTGCAGGGGATTTCCCGCATCTGCTTTTCTTTGGCCCCACGGGAGCCGGCAAGAAGACCCGAATCATGGCCCTTCTTCGTGAATTGTTCGATGCCGGTGTGGAAAAGGTAATTCGCCTTTGATCTCACGTTTGAGAGCACCATCTGCGCTTGTTGCTTACCTTCATGCCTTCACTCGGCCTGCTTTCAGCTGAAAATCGATCACAGAGACTTTAAGGTGTGCCTCTTTCCCCATAGCTGCAGTTCATGAGCA